CTAGAGATACAACTTACATGTTTGAAAACACTGCAGAAATTTGCTACAAAGTGCCTCAGCTGAAACCCTCACAAACTGATTCTTCAAGTGTAGACCCAAACTATCTGACAGATAGATCATCTCAACATCTAAAAGAGCCATTGTATCCACCTGAACAGTAAGAGAAAAACACCAACAGTAGTTCTGGCTGCTTATAAGCATGGATGATTAACAACAGATTCCATTACTAGCAACAAAAAAAAACCAAAACAAAGCTTCTGAGCTTCAGCAGCTATGAATACTAAAAGAAACCCAAAGTAAGTTAAAAACAGAATTGCTTTCTAGCAATTGGGAAAGGCAACCAAGTAACTTCTACAAGGGCCTACTGCAGTACTATGCAGATCTTCCTTGCCTGCATCCAAATTTATAGCCACACCGAAATAATCATACCAGTCAGGACTAAGAACTTGGAGAAAATCACTCCACAGGCATCCATAGGCTCTCACTCTATTCCTTTCTTTGATACTCAAGTCATGACAACTTACAGAAAAAAAACCATAAATATTAATAAAATTACTATTATTGCCATGGAGAAACAAGTTTTTGCAAGTGCACTTGCAGTATTTTTTTTGCAAATTATCTGCAAGTGCACAGAGTCAATACAGAGCATGTCCTTAGCTTGGAAGAGGATACGCTTCAGTACCAATCTAAAAAGCCAGCTTTATCAGACATGGAAAAAGCAACTTCTCCTGTACCCAGACATAGATGCACATAGCTAATTTCTTTTGATCTTGCCATCTCAAGCTATAGTAACAGTTAAATTAAATGTCGAGGAAGGTGATTCTGCCTTTCTGCTCTCGTGAGACCCCACCTGCAGTACTGCATCCAGCTCTGGGGCCCTCAACATAATCATAGAATCACAGAATGGTTTGGGTTGGAAGGGACCTTAAAGATCATCTAGTTCCAACCCCCGTGCCAGGGGGGATAAGAAGGATATTGACCAGTTGGACCAAGTCCAGAGGAGGCCACGAAGATGCTCAGAGGGCTGGAGCACCTTTGCTATGGGGACAGGATGAGAGAGTTGGGCTTGTTCAGCCTGGAGAAGAGGAGGCTCTGGGGAGACCTTATTGCAGCCTTCCAGTACCCTCAGGGGCTACAAGGAAGCTGATGGGGGCATTTCTTAAAAGGGCAAGTAGCGATAGAACAAGGGGTAACGAGTTTAACCTGAAAGTGGGGAGACTTAGATTAGATAACAAGAAAACAATTCTTCCCAGAGAGGGTGGTGAGGCACTGGGACAGGTTGCCCAGAGAAGCTGTGGATGCCCCATCCCTGGAAGTGTTCAAGGCCAGGCTGGATGAGGCTTTGAGCAACCTGGTCTAGTGGAAGGTGTCCCTGCCCATGGCAGGGGGGTTGGGACTAGATGGTCTTTAAGGTCCCTTCCAACCCAAACCATTCTGTGATTCTTTGAAATAAATTCACATATTCTAGTTACAGAAACCATTAGTCCCAAATTCAATTTTAATTATATAACAGGTCAGACCCACTTTCCAGGCTTCCACTAAATGACAATGGCTTAGTCACTCAAGTTAACATTTCTCTTTAGAAAAGCAGAAGGCTAATGACCTGAATATGTCAAATTACAACAGTAGGAAACAACATGTTGAGAATATCAGCTGAAGATTCTCTCTCAGTATTCCCCTCACACCCTGCATCATACAAAAATACCAACATACTTCTGTTTCATGGCTCTTATTTGATCCATCTCAAACAGTAAGCTTTCCTACTTAAAAAACAGAAGTTACACTGCTGTGCAGGGAATTACGCTCTGCAGTGAAGCCTGCAGGTAGACCTGCAGGTTTCTAAGCCATGCTGCACAATTTGCAACACGAACTGCTACATAACTAGATAGCAGGAGCTACACCAACCACTAGTTTCATCGTTTCCAAAACATCGTCAATCCAGGCAAACAGAAAGTGCCACAGATATTAAAAGAGGCTGAGGAAGATGTCCTGCATAAACAATTGCAGGTCCAGAATAATGAAAGCATGCCTTCCGAACAAAAATTCATTAAAGAAGTCAGTTCTTCCTAAGAAAAAGTAAGTGTGCTAATTAAGCAAAAACCCTGTTACAGGGAAGAATTGCCAGCAGCACAAATTATTTTAGTTGACATTACTTCAGAAGAAGCCCACCATTCACCATCTGTTCTGGCACAAATGTCGAATGCTAAGAAAGTTTCCAACATCACTGATGAAAAGAAAGCAGTCAAGATACAGAAGTTTCTGGTTTGCTGTTAAAAAGAACAAGCATCTAGGACAACTCACATTTCAGCAAGAACAAACACAAACCAGAAGTTTTGCACATCTATAAAAATCAGAGAATTACAGTAAGGCAGAGTGCAAGTGGAAGACACATAGGGAATATAACAGGAAACAAATAAAAGCTTCTTACAAATTTCACATGAGATGCTGGTTGCCCATTCCAGACAGTGGGTCATGGTTTACACTCTAGGTAATAAGCATACATCTACAAAGTTATTTTTCCAATTGCTAACAGGACCAAAACTTTTGGAAGCTAATGGCTCAACCACCTTTAAAAGGGAAGACTAACCATCAAAACAAACTGTTTCACTCACAGAAAATAAAGGACAATGTGTGACAAGGAAGCCAATGGAATCAATCTAACACAGGGAACAAAAGTTGGGCTAGGCATCATTACCAATAATATTAAACTCTCAAACCATCAAACTAGGCTAAACGATCTTTTCCAACATGCAACTCAGAACCAAAGTGGATACTAGAGCAAAAATAAGAAGATACAAAAAAAGTGATAAAGAACAGAGTAAAATACATAATTCATCCACCTTAAGGCAATATTTAAAATTTCAGAAGCAGTAAAAAATTCTTAATGCCTTTCTACAAATCATTTGAGAGATTTCACTTAGAAGACTCCATGAAATTTTACTTCTCCATGCTTGGGAAAGAAACAGAAAAAGCCTCACATGGGAATTGAAAGCTTATTTCGTAAGAGAACATGTTTGGCCAAGCAAAACAACCAGTTTTAAGAGGACTGCTCTCGAAATACATTAATGGAAACAAACACCACAGAAGAAACAGAGGAGCTACCTAAGTCAAGGAGAACAATGGCATTAAAATGAACCTTTCAAATTTCACCATTCTTCTGAAGATCAGAGGTCTGAAGTTCAAAGACAGCCTCTAACAAATAACTACCTAACACTTCAATTCCTTTTATGAGTTCACAAAAGGTATTATACCAATACTGTGAGGATAGCAGATGACATCATGTAGGTAGAATGCAATTCCAAAGCTATCCTCCATATGTCTAAGATTTACCCAGTGGGTAAATCTTTTGCATTAAACTACTAGTGGAAGAAGTTACTTTCCCATTTCCTCCCTAGTTTTGTCTAGCATAAAAAATAGGAACAAACCACAAAAAAACCCCGAGTGAAAGCATAATGTGAAATTCGTTAATTGGTAGGAGGCTAAGCATTCTGCACAAACCAACGATCTGAAGATTATGGGTTAGAATTATGTGGTCCTTCACTGTGACAAAGTTTAAACAAAAAGAGATGAACATGTCTGTGCCACATAATTAACAGATTTATTTCTCCCCATCTCAAACACAAAATCACTATGTCACCATAATGTATGAATGAGCTAAACATTTAGGCAACCTTTTTCACAGTCTGGAAAATAAGGCTCCAAAAATCCCTTACAAGTTCTTTCTTAGAAAAACCTAAGTGACAGATGGAGTTTTAATATTTCTCATTACACCAGATGATGCTTTATGTGCAGTCATGCAATACCTCCTAAATAGCTATTTCAAAAAATTCTAGTTTATGTTGCAAAAACATTTAATAGTAATTTAATATCAGTGATATTTTCTTTCTTTATGGAAGAAACTAGCAAAGACTGTTTTTAATAACTCTAACTCGTTTACTAAGTCATTTCAAGTCACCACCACTTGAAACAGATACATTATACCATAGAAACCTGGGTTTGGTATAACAACAGTGCTTGAGCCTCCACCAAGCAGCCCTAACTTTGTGCAGGGTTCAAGAACAAATCTGCAGACATAATGCGTTATTTTCTTCCTTCAACCAATCAATTTCTGAATTCATCTAGACACAACACGGTTTAGAGTTAAGTATATTCCTTACTTAAAAGGCTCACTTCCAATTTTAAAAAATATTACAAGTCCAGATGAAGCTGGGAACAAAAGACTTGGGCAAGATCTTTTAAAAACAGCTTTTTCTTGTTTGATAAGAAATTTACATTCAAGATACTACTTTATGTTCAAATTAGTGGTGAAAACTAGAACTAGCGCATGGATTTAGGAGAGCGTTTAGTGCTGTCTATTCATCAGATTTATATAGCTGTGCAGATGGCAAAAACCTTAATGAAGGCTCTACATTAGTTTTGTAGCATCTGCAATACTTATCAGCAGATCAACAGGGGAGAAAAACTGTTTGAGGGTGTCTCTCATCTGTGTATGCAGCAATTCCCAATGACAGCATTGTAAAATCACACAAAAGCCCATCTCACTAGGCTAAAAAGCTTCAACAGTAATGCAAAGGCCTAATTCTTCCACCACCAAACAAATTCATTGTTATTAAACGCAGAGTAAGAAACAGAGCAACACTCCAAAACCTAGTTTTATTACTTCGGGTTTGTGAGTACAGTTTCATCGCTTATGATTACAGAACACGTGCTTCCAAGACACACGTAAGGCTAACACAGCTCTGAGTACCTTAGTATAGTTGTGCACAAGAAGGCTGCCCCTCCATAAGGACCTTCCCAGCACACCTTTTTACTCTTGAGCAAAGATCTCAAAAACGTGCAGGATAAATCACAACATGTTTTATCTTTTCACAGAGAAGACCTTTCATCAATTCTGTTAGTCAGCCAAAGCGACCTTCCAGATCCCAGGCTAGGCTGACATGATATGTATATATACACTGTAATTTCTACAAAACATATTTAACAGGAGACTTTTAGCTTACCGTTACAGACTTCAGAGTCATTCCGTGATAGGTGCCCATGGTATCAATTTTAAAGCCTTCCGTTTCTGTAGAGGAAAAAAAAGTCTCTTGTGAATCATTATGAACACAGGGACATCACATCTACATGGACTACAAAGGAAATACCTTTGAAATTACTTTTGCAAAGAACACACCTTGCTATTGGTAGTGACTTAGGTTCTGTTCGCAATACAAAACCTGATTAGAAATTAGGATATCTTAGGATATCTGTGTTTTCTTTAGACACGAGGTCCCTTTGGTATTTCTGCTTTCTGTAACCAAAGTAAGCTTTTCCTGCAGCACGGAATCATTCAAAGCACTCCAGAGAAAGGACATACATTTAAGTCTTTGTGGGAATATGTTACAACACGCATGCAGTCTCAGAAATTCTCTTCACTACAAAACGGAGATGTACCTCATTCCCAGAATGCATTATAATGCATTATAAAGCAACATATTTAAAAGGCTCCAGGGAGACCTTATAGCAGCCTTCCAATTCCTGAAGGGAGACTACAATAATGCTAGGGGGGAAACTTTTACAAGGCTTGTAGTAATAGAATAAGGGACAATGGCTTTAAATTGAAAGCAGGGAGATTTAGATTAGATATCAGGAAGTAGTTCTTCACGGAGAGGGTGATGAGGCACCTCTTTTACAAGAGAAAGCTAGGCTTCTTTTTCCTTTTTTTTCTTACTAGAGAAGACTGCATTCATGTCTGTCTGTACCTCTGTACCTGCATTTTGCTTTCTCAGTGTGCTGGATTCAGCCAGGA